CAGGAAAGGGAAGAGTGAGAGAACAAAGGAGCTGAAAAAGCTAAATTGACAACTTCGGTTTTTGGTAAAGCAGGCCAATAGCACAGTAAGAAATGTCTTTGTGTCTGTACAACACCCAAGTATTTCATCTTCATGTCAAGCCCCGATGACATGAAGCCACGAGTTCGAAGAATCAGATGTCGAAGAAGACTTTTCGTCTACGTGTTCAGAATCCTGAAGCGCTTGGGTCGATTCGTATTTGATCTGGTGAGTTTGTCGATTGCTAGGTCAGTCCGTCGGCTTCCAGGGGCAATAGAGTTAGCTCGTCTGTAACATCATGGCAAATTTCTTGTAATATGTGATTGAAAAGACTCACAGATGATTACGACGAATACAGAGGAAAACTTTTTTCTCGCGTTTAATTACGTGAGCCATACCATAGAAGATCCACATGAGGACTGGCCTAGTTAATCTTTCACCGGCAACTATACCGGTGAGATATGCCATCAGTCTATTCCTATTTTATTTCCTAATGAGGCACAGTCGTCCTTAAACATCCCTTTGTTTTACCTGGCACTCTATTGATAGCGTTGACTTGATTCCCTGTTGTTTACTCCAGAAAGTTTCACGTGTTGCATCCTGGCGGACAATGTGACTTGTCAGAGCTCATGTTGCTGTTGATGGGTTATGATATTCTCTCTGAACTAGGCGCAGTGGATTTGCGAAACCAATCTTACTGTTACCATTACTCCTGCTGCTGCTGATACGACTGTTGCTAGCACTACCACTATTACTACTACTGCTGCTGCTGCTTCTTCTACTTCTACTACCATCACTGTTATTACTACGATTAGGTTCAGTGGGTGTAAGGTGCCGTTCCCTTCTAGATGTGGTGGTAGGTCCATAATGTGTCTCTTGGGCGTTACATTTTTTTCGAGAGAGTTGGGATTAACATTATTCCTTATGGCATCCTGAAGAGATTGAAACAACTGAGCTGTGTTTAGGACTGTTATTTTTAGGATATCAATCGATATTGGAATCCGTGGGTGCATGTTGTATAGGCTGCTTAGGGTTCTCTTAACACTAAAACTTATTGATTTTAATTCTTCTACACATTCCTGTTTTCAGCTTTGAATTCTGGGGAGCCATGTCAGCACGCTGATGGTACAGTGCATCATTTGTTACTTTGGTTTTGAAGCCTGGAAGTATTTGTAATGTAAGCTTACAAATAAGCCAGGACTTTATGAAAAGCAACATATTTGAGGGCTGTCTTGTATTACTTGTCCAACAACATTTTCTTATCTTTATCTATTTATTCATTTTTTACTTCTACTAGATTATCAGCGAATCTTATAAGTTTTAAAAACTGATATTCATAGTGCATATATTGTCATGAGTACTGGATTACTTTGGTTGCCCCTTCAAATAGCGTGATCTTGGGCTCTGTGTTCCCTTTTTCACCAATCGGAGTGAAAATATGTATTTGTATCTTGTATGTAATGCTGATATCCAGGGCAAAGGAGCATACGAGTCGGATATTACAAATGATTGCTTTTTAGGTTGGCATTTATGTAATCATACAATAATACTGCGTTCATCCTCGTCTGATATATGTCTCATTGCACGGCCAGCAGCTTCTCTCGGATGGTAGCTGTTCTTACCTGAGGGTTCCCTGATACGTCGCGGATGTCGTTCTGTGTTACATCCATTATTTACTCATTCCTCCAATCCAGCCAGGAGTCTTGTCTAAAGGAATCTGCCTACATGCTGTTGGTTCATGGAGTGTTGAAGCCATATTGTATGCAAGCCTGGCAATTACAGCGCAGAGGCCGAGCGCCTGTCCTTCTATTTTATTTTTACAGGATTTATTTATCAGGCATTGTCATAAATACTGACATCCGAACTCCTCCCTGTGCCCTCGCGCCTTTTTAAACGAAGTTCCAGATCATTTCTTCTTTTATTATTGTATTGACTAGTTGACATTCTATATGGTGTTGAGGACTGATGCAATGTTGGTGTGTAAGGCTCCTAGATAAAGATTTTATCATGCTTTAAAAATTATTGTCGGGCCATTACTGATCATATTTCAAAACCAATAGCATTTTAAAGCGGGCATACCTAGATTACTGATTTGGTAAGTCATTGTTCCATCATTCACACACAAGCTCTTTACATTTTCTTTACAGAACATAAAAACAAACAACTTTAATGAAGTCAGTGAATGTATCAGACGATAAACGCTATAAAAATGGACTTAGCTTTGGGTAGGTAAGACACTAACTGGGATAGCTCAGAGTGCCATTCCGTGTAGATATATGCAAGACTGGTGAATAATAAAGAATGAAATTGGCATGGATATGTGACTGAGTGGTAACTGGGAACACTGCGGTTTATAAGACGGATAAAAGGGTGAAATATAATTGATCGTGGAATAAACTAGTGAGATATGGATGTATATTACCTCCTGTATCCTCCCTCATGGTTGGCTCTATCTCTTCAGGAAAAACCTACTGCTAAATGCAAGAAAATGGAAATCCCTTAATTATTAAAGAGCAGTTATTAACAAACTAAGAAAGCATGCACTATACGCAATAAGAAAATAAATCTAAATGAATTATTTATCCTCTAGATCAACATCACTTATAACATTCTTGATTAACATACGGTATTATACTATAAGTACTATAACCTATATAAGTTTTTGTTTTAAAACGTTTTTCTACCAAAATCACTAATGCCATTTTGTTAGAACGATGAAGTTTCTGATGAAAAATGAAGTTAGAAATACATATTCAGAGGTAACATGTATACAGTGAATGGCTCCTTTGTATGACGTACGTACATGTATTTGTTTGAACTGGTTTTGCAATATGAACTTATATGATATGATTTCTGTTTTTCTACTTTTATTCATTATATTTTTGTGACAATGTATTGCGATGGTTCATCTTTTGATCAATGATGTAAATATAGCTTTGTTCTGTTTAGGTTACATTCGTTTTTGTTTTTGTTTTACACACATCATTTATTAAACATTCTTTTCTCTTTTTTGTTTGTATTTGTTAGCTACAAAGACATTTTCAAGTGTTTTTCTTTTTCTTTTGTTTTTCTTCCAGTTGCTTGGCATTAATTATATACTTTATATACACATTTTTACTTAATTAGATACTTCACGCTTCCGTACATGTCCATTTTATATATATTGATGTAATATTCAATAAATGTCTATATATTGTATTGTTTTCCTCTTTCTGTCTTACGTACAGAAGGATTTTTTTCAAAATTCTTATATTCCTGCTTGATATTATTGTCACGAATAAATTGTAAAGTGAAAGAACCCCCCCAAAAAAAAGAAAAAAAAAAAAAGTGACAAGGGTTATTATCACTGACACCCTTTAAAAGATGGTTCCTGGTTTTCCGACAGATGGCGTGTGGCCACTCAGTTACAGAGGATATAGCTTTTGAAAGTGCATAACGCGTACAGCAGAGTAACACTTCTTGCTCGCGTAGGATACATCAGTTACAAATATTAACTTTTGGGTAAAATTCAGTGTAATGAATATTTGAATGACTGCTGGCATTTATATTAGGATATTAATAATCATATTTTTAAATTGTTCTCATCTATTATCCATATTCCATAAGATTCCTTCTCTGCTCATTAATCGAGTCATACAAGCCTTTGCTTAAAAATCTCGCTGTGTAGGATAGTGTGGTTAATGGGATTCGGTGAGATGCACTGATTTTGAGTAGAGATCCGCTTTCACTGTAAGCCGTACGTGATTACAATAGGTTGCTAACCAGTTAAGGGAGGGGGTTCACTTGCAATCTATTTATTTTTCTACACAAAATAGAAAAAAAAGATCCTGAGATTAGGATTTTAGGAATATTTTATTTACAAAACATGTTTTTTTTTGTAAAGATGTAATAATATACTGTATATATAAATCCATTGCCACAGCATTAAAAAAAATGGCAAGGGTTTCCCTTAGGTATATTATAGTGTAATGTATATGACATCAGTTGCAGCAACCGTGGCCTTAGCTGATTGCTGGAGAAATTGAGCCTTTTCATAATTAAATGGTGCGAAAGCAAAAAATATATTATTCAGGGGGAGGGATATTTACGAGCTTGCAACGCCTGGTGCGTAGGCAAAAGGGTAGGGGACGAGAATCAAGCCTTAGAGAGGAACTTTAAATTCGCATAGCTGACAAATAAAACCAAACGCTTTTCTGGAAGCTGAAGGGTAAACGAGCTTGTCCTTCAGATTGCCGGAGCATCCAATTGCCAGAGAGAGAGAGAGAGAGAGAGCGAGAGAGAGAGAGAGAGAGAGAGAGAGAGAGAGAGAGAGAGAGAGAGAGAGAGAGAGAGAGAGAGAGAGAGAGAGAGAGAGAGAGAGAGAGAGAGAGAGAGAGAGAGAGAGGGACAGATGGATAGACGTGTGTCTCATATGTGTCTTCACTGGACGGAAATACCACGAAGCACACCCACCGAAGCGTCTCACACAAATCTTCGTACTGGGACGTCGTCTGGGGCAAAGCGTAAGTAAAGTAGAGACCCCATGTGTTGTCTCTTTTCTCGTAGTTTCATTTGACGATATCAAACTCAGCATCTTGTTATATCCACTCACCTTGGCCAGTTGAAAAGTGTACCCACTGCTCTATAAACCGAAGCATCCTTGTTGTATTCAAACCCGTATTCATATTCCTTATGATTTATCTATAAGTAACTTGGTAACCGCACCCATCGTCTCATAGGGAACATTCAAACTCGAATTCTTCGTTGGATCGTCTTTAGCTATAAATTCATTATGCATTTGTTAATTTAACTAGGATCTGTCTTCTTCTTCGTGTTATTCACAATAAGCGATTGGAAAGTAAGCATGTATTTGGTCCTTTATTGTTTTTGTTTACATTGCTAACTTGCAATTCATTTATTATATAGAGTGAATGTACATGTACAATTTCGTGATAAATAGTGTAAAGGTACATAAGTCTTCAAGAATATCATTAAGAGACCACTCGTGTATAGAAATGTTTATTATGTATCATACATGATTTTTTTACATATAATGTTGTTGTGCAGTTATTTCAAGCTTAGCTCATCCATCGTTAAACATTCATACATATAAAGTTAAATGTCTTACTAAAACATTTTTTACTAACGTACATATTAAGATTACACATAGAGAAAATATTTACTATGTAACTAAATATCTACTGTTAAGGTTTACAATTCATATTAACAACAATATTTGCATTTGTTTCTTATAATACTCTATGCAAATATACAGGGAAATATCTTTTAAGCAAAAATCCTAAAAAAGGTAGAGAAAATGTGGATGGAAATAAATAATTAATGCCTCAAAAGACTATAAATGGACAAAGAGTGTTGATGACGAGAAAGATACTCTAACCCCTAGGATGAAATAAAAAGAAGACACCATAATGAAAACAACACAAATTATCCCTTAATTGATAATCTCTCGGCGTCGTTGTCCTACTACGCCTAAAATAAATAAGAAAAGTTCTAAAAGAGTTTCGTTAAATGAGCAAATCCACGTCATGGGAGTTGCGTGTGAAGGAGCAGACAGATGGCACTCAAACCAGTCCCGCGGCAGAGAGGGGAGCGAGTGGTCTTGAGCGCCTTCGAGGTGAGGAGTTCCATCCCCTCAAGGACGTTCGACTCGAGAGCGAAACAACATGGCGTCGGGGCGTCCGTATGATCGTGAGAAGGGTGAAGAGTGGCTGCCTTTATATCGCGGGTGGGAGGAAGTGCGAAGATCACTAAGTAGTCTTCCTTCCATTGCCATTGCTTCGTTTAATATTTATTTCGAGAGGAGATATGTTCGAAAAAAAGCAAGATTACATACGTGGACACCAGACTTAATGGAGAGGTTGATTCGCTTGAGTCATCAGCTAGAGTGGCAGTTTACTCTATCCTTGAAGTTGAAAATCCCACCTCGGGGAAATATTTTCGAATAAATATTTATCAAACACCGTAAACCGAATAACAAAAGAGAAACGTTTTAACATCATCTAAGTGAACAAAGCGATAACAAATTTTATAGCTGAGGTCCTTGTACTGTTCTAGCATTGTCAACAGTGAAAGCAGGGCAAACGGGGTGACGTTAGACAGTATGCAGAAAATAACATCTGAAAATCACCGAGAGATGGAAATGTTTTAGACACAATCGACTCACAACTGATCGACAGCTTTTTGCTCGTTGTATTGTCCATAAGTCCAGACCAACTTTCCTTTTATCAATAAATAAAAGTTCATAAACAAGATCGTCAGCAGGGGAGAACAGGCAGCCAGGTCAGCACGAGTCCGGAGCCTGTCCCGCAATGGTTCAGACACTACGGGGTTTTGTAGCACCACTGTGGACACATGCGCAGGTGAAGCAAATTCTTGGAACTTCGGTCCCTTTAATCCCCTTCAGATATCCTTATGATATGTAATGGACGATAAATAGCAAAGATATGTGAAGCGGTTCCTGGCTTGCTCTTACAGACTACCGACGATGAGGCGCAGCTTCTGTCTCTCCTGCCATCACACTTTGGTTGTGTTCGTTTGATGAGTCTCGGGATACCCTTAATACTTCCTGCGGTCGCGGTCGCGCCAGTCGCGGTCGTGGCGTTCATGACGGTCGTGGCGGTCGTGGCGGTCGGTGCGGTCGTGGTGGTCATGGTCGTGGCGGTCGGAGCGGTCGTGGTGATCCCCGTCTCGCCCTCCCTTGTGGCGGTGGCCGTGGTGGTGGTGGTGGTGGCGGCGCTTCTCGGGGCGGGTGTACATGGCAGCCACGTCGTTGACGGTCATTTCGGAGCCGTCGCGGAGGCCCTCGTGGCCCAGGGAGCGCGTCGAGCGGAAGTCGGGCTGGTCGAGTGTCTCCGTGCGGGCGAGGCGCGGGTGGCTCGATTTCTCAAGGTCTCCGCTGCCGCTGCCGCCCTCCCTCAGGTTCTCCCACGCCCTCTTGTAATACTTGTTGAGCCCGTGGCCGTCGGAGGAGGAGGAGTCGTAGGAGGAGGCGGTGCCGTCGTCGTTGCGTCGGACATACTTCTTTGGCGTGTGCTGGGTCCTGCGTGAACCAGGGCAAGTATCAGCTCAGAGCGTCACTACACAACGCACGTACGGACTCATGACTCTAACACCTTACATTTCACGGGACCTGTAAGTCAGAGTTAGTGGGCGTGTTAGTAGCTATCTACAGGCGAAAGCCGACTGATACGAGCTTCACCAATGGCTTCACCATTTACTACTATTATTTACGTCGTGCAAAGCATTCTTTGTAAGTATATACATAAAACACTATTATCATTTAGGGGGATCTAAAGCTTAAAGCGTGCATTTTAAGTGCTCTACATTCTGTTGCATCTTTTAACAGCGTATTCACGAACGAAAACAGATCGTCTCGAGTAGCACCGTCACAGCAACACGTGACAGGGATGTCATGTCTGCGACCCTTCGGAGCTGCCGCTCGCCGTCACGACGGCAACTAACTGCGCACTGTACAGGTCCCGC